TTTAAACCAGCATGCCCCCATAGTTAAACCCTTGTGAAATACATTTTTTTTTGTGGAACGAATTTCAAATTTGAATAGAAAAGTATTGATTTTAAGAATTTGTATATTTTCAGGCGATACGAATTTCCATAGTTAACTATGTGACTCTGAATATAAATTCATAATTAAACTCTTGTTGGTGGTTAAGTTAACAATGGTTTAACTAAGCAATGTGAATTCGGCCCTAAGAATTTCTGTGGATGATTCTCTATGAGCGCTGATACTTATAGATTCCTATTGGAGTTAAAAATAAAAAATAAACAAAAAATGGAAAGAAATACATATACTTATTGATTACATAAGAGCAGAATTGATAATAAAACTACTTACATACATCTATCTCCATGATGGCAGTAATTATTATTATTCTTTGTTTTTGGAAACGCTGAATTACCCTGCAAAAAATTGTGCGACTAATCTCTAAAGAGAGTATTCCGAGATTACTCTCAATCGGGTACAATTGGGCATTAATTAGTCCCAACTAGTCTCATACGGGTACTAATGGAGGTCAATTAGTCTCGACTCATCCCTTGTGGGTATAATTGGAGATCAATTAGTCTCCAACACATCTCTAACGGGTACTATTAACGATTTAATGATATGTACGCTCTTAGTCAATGAAATTTCATGTGCGGCTTTGGCACACAGAGAGAGTGTATTCGCCTAATAAAACTGAGCACCCCGGCTCGCAATCTCTAGCTGTTCGAAATTTTGTATTTTTATTTTTTAAAAGTGACTAGTCGCTTTTTATACCCTTTCGGGTATAAATGTGAACAATTAGTCTAGTCTCTTCATAGGACATGCCCGAACAAAAGCGATCAGTTCATTCCATATAAAGAGATCAAAAGTGGTATTAGTCGCATGCTCCTTTGCGATTGCTCCCGGAGTCATCCCGGATTAGTCCCATTTTTTGCAGGGTACTTACAGCAGCACATGAACACACACACAGCTAAATGAACACATAAACATATAATAACTAGGGATGGGTAAATTCGATATTCGAAGCTCCGATATTCGACTTTTAATAGAAGTTTAGTTTCAAAATGGCGAATTTTTGAAATCGAACTTTGTGTTGCTAAAATTCGGATCAAAATCGAATTTTACTAGAAAAAATCGAATTTCATCTTTATTTCCCAAAAAAAAACTCCTCAGCTTTCTTCTTTCTGACTAAATGTGCCATCACTGTGTGTGGCACTACATTTTCCTTAGGGATGCAAGTAAAAAAAAATACATCGTTTTTCGATCTGATGCATCCCCAATAACCATCAAAAAAATATTTCTCCAACCTTGGAGAAATTCATAGTTCACAAGTTGATATCCAACATCATTCTCCAACTCATCTCTAACCGACGCGCAGATACGTAAGAAAGTGATAGAGAAACGAGTTTTTAATTATCAAGTAAAAACGAAAGCTATATAAAGACGAAAATTACCAATAGAAAAGGAGATAATCTTCAAAGAGGGAAATTTCCAATAAAATGTAAATAATCTTCAAAGTATCCTCAAATAATCTTGAAAGAAAATAAAATCGCGAAGTGAATCGAGTGGAAAAATTACTGTCGGATTGTATACTGTGAAGTGAATTATTGTAATACGATATTGTTACCTACATAATACAAAAGGAGTAATAAAATGAAAAATTAATATTTACATTCATCTATGGATGTCGTTTCGGACAAAAAGGTATAAGGTATTTTACTATTTCAATTTCAGTATTTCAATGATATGTTTGAGACCAATTGGAGAATAACATTGGAGTTCAAGTTGAGAACTAGCATTTTCTCACTTGGCGGTTTTTCATACAAAGAAAAATGCCCTTTTTGTTGAGAACGCTATGATCGCCCACTTGAGGTACTGTTGAGAAACAACGTTGGAGATTTGACAAATACCTTAGTTCTCAACTTAACCTCAAGTTGAGCCCAAACCCAAATGTTTGTTGGCTCGAAACAAAAAATCTATGCTAAGAATGGAAGAACATCCAAACTCAATTAA